GAGCCAAGGCTCTAAACAATCAAATTTGAGCCTATCTCAAAACTTTCACTAGCAAAGGTTGTTTTGATGCCTAAATATCAAATTGATCATCTCGACATCAAGATGTATGTACATGAGAAAAAAAATGGATTGTAAGTTTTGAAAATAGTGTATTTTGTAACGTATTTTTGGACCATCAATTTTCAAGATTTTCATAGATATGTCGATCTACACTATTTTTGAAGCTTTAAACATTATAAATAAATATGAAAATATATTTTAAGGCTATCAGAAAGATCTTCAATATTGAAACTACATTTCTCGACACCATTTTAAGGTAGGCTCTAATTTAATTGTTTAGAGCCTAGGCTCTATACAAACTGCACCCAAATATATATATACACCCTATTTGTCCAAGATCCCAAATCCAAAACGGGGGCAGATTGGGGCTATCTTTCATTCTTAAATAACTGAAAAGTACATGAGTAAAATTATCTTTTTAAAGTAACCACTTTGTAAGTGAATATGTTGATTTGACCACCTCTTGGATTTATTGTAGTGTTTTCACCATTTAGTGGTATTTTCTCTTCTTGATGAAAGTATGAAAATACAAATAATTTGTATACCATCTTCAGCAGTAAGCACGCCCTTGATCAGAATTGGCAAGTTCGTTATTGATCGCAACCACTTTATGTCCTGGACAGGAATGAAGAAAAAGAACGAAAGAACACCAAAATAAAATGATCTCCATTAGGAAAACTGGTACTGGCATTATGTTGATAATTGCAATATAACAGTGACGCCATTTGTAGGGCATAAGATAATAAAGTCCATGAACTTATATGTTTGACAGTTAATCTATAGATCACATGAAGATACCTTCAAAATTGCAGAAAGACCCTCTTCAAATATAAACAGATAAGATGCTTATGGAATAAGGCAGAGAGAAGCATATAGAATAACAGAAAAAGATGCTTCGCACCCCAAATGAATGAATAGGGACGTGTCCATGAAGCATCTTGCACTCTTTTGTCAACAAAGAAAAGTAATTTATCCCGAAAAAAAAGAAAAGAAAAAAAAAGCACATCTTGCCCCATAAAACGACACACATGGCTACAGGACCAAGAGCAAGAATGGACAAACAGATGAGTTTCCATAAGGAATAGCTCAGGTTTTGCAATGGGAATATTAATTTTACAAGACGGAATGCCACCAAAGTAAGAGTAAAGTGAACACTACTATAAAAACCAATAGACAAGACAAATATTGCATGTGTGTGTGTTTTTTGGTTTGCTTTTTTTTTTTTTAGTTTTCTGGGGTTGTTTGTTCGTGAAATGTATCATGAATCACCTTTTGGCTTTGCGTAATGCAATTGAGTTTGCTTTATAACTAATTGCACCACCAAACATCTTCAACAACTATGGATAATTTAAACAAGGGATAATCACAGTGGCAGATGTGGGATTAGAACTCCTATAAGACATTTAAATCACCGCCAACAACAAATGGCAATAATAGCACAGTTGAGAAAAGCAATTCTTTTGGCAAAGTCAGCCAGGGGTTTTGGTTTTGTTGGATTCTGCTCCTTTCTATTTCAGTAAAATAGTAGAGTACAATAATTTATTTTGAAAAGTTTGGAGTACAAGATGCACACAGACCACTCAAAGCAGATTATAATACAATGCGGAATGGCTTGATCTCGTAATAAAATGTACGACATGGGGGTAAAAGAAGTCAGTTTGCTTGGATGCTCACTTGGGAGGGTCTTTACAGGATCAATGTCTCTTTAGCATTAGTTTATCAAAAAAAATAAAAAAAAAAGTCTCTTTAGCATTACTTGCGAGTGAAGTCCCTTAGTGAACTTTGGATGTTGAAGGCCTTACTGTCAAATGCCAAGCAATTTCATTCCTCCCAAATTACCAAAATAAGAGCAGTAATGGTCTTCCACACTGTGAATATTGCTTCATTCCAGAACAATACAAGATTTTGGATTTGGTTCAGGTAAATGTGAAGGTCCAATCTCCGGAGGTACATTGCAAAATCGCCTTGGTATAGTGCACTCCACAAAATGATGATCATGGCTCTCCAAGTTTTGCATGAACAGAGCAATCCTTAATGTACTGATGACCCATTTTGCGCGATGTCTAATTTGGGTTGGCAGACAACCCATGTGAACCGTAATGCCATAGGATGAGTGGAGGCATATCAAATAGCCTCCAAGATATTGTTAAAGATAGCCTTCCGGATGCAGAGAAATAATAAACCAGAAAAATAAAATAAAATTAAAAGGGTCGAGAGAATATACCCTCTCTTTGGGTTTGCAAGCTCTTTCTTTATCCTCCAATTCACCATCTCTATAAAGAAGGGATATCTTCCCTTTAAATAAGATGAATAAAAAATAAAATAAAATAAAACTAAAAAACTAAAATCTATCTCTCCTTCATCTCTTAAAAAAGATTTTAATATATCATAACCAACCCAACAATGCTAATCCCTATCCATATCCATCTTTCAAAAAAAAAAAGAAAAACTAAACTTCCAATTCTTCTACCCATTAAATCTCTAAAACTTAAAAAAGACAAGAATAACCCTAAAGAAAACTAAAAATCCAAATAATATATTATCTAACTACTGGAAAAATATATAATAAAAAATCACTTTTTTATTTGCATCACTAGCCCTAGATACGGTCTTCCAACTTCTTGATGCGATAAACACATTTTTCTAATTCTTATGTTAGGGTATGGTCTTTGCCCTACAGATAGGAGGAAGTCTCAAGTATGAGCCACCAAGCTTGAGTTGAAGCTAGTCAACAGTATGGAAGGTGCTATGTCGTACCATAAAGAATGTAACCACATGAGATACTTTCTAATACTCAATTCTCTTTTGATTCCATCTATTGCGAGAGGATCTTCATTTAGTCATAAATCAAATAAAAGTTGATTCTTTGGCCATCTCCAACTAGTCATTGGCTTTTTTATTCTTGGAAAACGTATCAAAATACACATAAGAGATCCACTATTTACCATTTTACCTATATTGCTTGATTTGTTTTAAAATTAGCCTGATGAAGAAAGAATTAATGGAGTACAAGTTTAGTTATAATAGGAGCAGAAACAAGGAATTAGTTAAGATCAATGACTAGGGATTACCTAAAAGATATTTTTTTTAATATCTTAGGTTGACAATCCATAGGAATGGAGAGATTGAGGGAAAAAGTCGTGCATAAAATTAGAGAGCTGGGTGCATGAAGTGAAAAGATACTTATGGGATCTTTTGTGATCGTTGCATACCAATGAATCTGAAGGAAAATGTTGGGCAAAAAACCACATATCCATATGAATGAGCTTAACAAAGATAAGGATGCTGACATGGATGAGTGGTAGGACAAGAAAGGATGGAATTTCAAATAAACACATCCGAGAGGATGGAATTTCAAATAAACACATTCGAGGGAAACTAAGCGTTTTTCGAAACTAGCCCTATAGATGTTTGATGGACCTTGTAGCTTATTAATGCATGGGCCGCTACGCCAGCACATAAAAGCAGGAGAAGCTCTTCATGAATGTTGTGTGTGGCAATGCAATGATAAACATGAATGTGCCTGGGACAATCTATAGTAGTTAATAGAGAAATAGGATATGAAACAGGACACACCATCGTAGAGATATATCAATGTCTAAAAGAAAGCTTTAGCTTTAATGGACACTCAATCAATACTTTGAATATTTTTATCTAGAACTGCATCATACCATCCAAGTGACAGAAGCATCCATATACCGATTTGCAAAGGATGCTAAATTAGAACCCGTATCCTGCAAAGAAACAAATGAATCCATATAAGATTCCAATGAAAAATACATATTTATGTCAACAGGTCAGTAAAACAAGGATCCCAGCACAATAATTTTTCCTAGAGAACTCGTACAAAACACACGTATATGATCTAGATAATCCTAAAGAGCAGCATATAACAATTAAATTATGCCAATTAAAAAATCTTCGTTTCTTGAATTAATCTAAGTCAACATGAAAATGGGTGTGAGGATGGGGCATAATAAATAAAATCTTATACTTTTAAAAGGCAAAATGAGTTTCCTGAAGCGCCAAGGGAAGTCATGGGTAAAAATACAAAAACAATTTGAGCAAAATGCTTATGAAACTCATGTTAATCATGTGTAGGAAGCATGTCTAGCTAAATACATGAGAAAATGTGAGGAACACATATCACTTACCTAACCACATGTCATGCCGTACATTCCTTAAATTATCGAGACATTTCTTGAATATCAAAAACAAGTTAAGGACCATGCATATTAGAAACAAGGAAACTTCTTTCCCACCACAAAAAGTATCTTATAGTTCTATATTTAAAATTTCTTTCTCTGATGGTCATATATTCTTCTTCTTTAAAGTAAGACTTTTGTGCGGATGTGTGCTTGTTTGGGTTTTGGGGGGGACACCATGTAATAGTATCTTGTCAAGAGGGATAACAAAGTTTGCATGTGAAGGTGTAAGGACTTTTTTTAAGTAAGGAATGTGTAGGGACTAAGCTTAACTACTCAAGATTCAAGAAGCAGAAAAGAAAAGAAATGACATGCATCCTGCTCACCTTCTTGATGTCCAATGACAATTGACCTTCAAAGTTTCTTGACTTAGGCGAAATCATTCTGCAAATAAGAGATGGGTAGAAATGCCAACTTTTTACAACATAAAAAGAAGGATAAAAGAAATGCCAATGACTTTAAAGGTCATCCAACTAGTTCAGTACACAGCCATTACATGACAGATCTAAGAGATGGTGTATAAACAACCTCAAGTACATGCATCTTGCAAGATTGACACAAAATGCATCATAAAAAAACTAGATCTCCCAATTCCTCTAAGTACAAGTCTATAGGTTCCTTTCCACAAGTATTATAAATGATCAGCTGCTTAATCTCAATTCAACTCTCATAGCTTTCTAGATCAGGCCTTAAAAAGCACTCTTGAGTGACTAGATCATGTCTAACATTTCATATTTGGTTAAAATAATTAGTAAAAGAAATAAAATAAAAGGAATGTATAATGTCAAATAAATGGTGACATTATCCTGATAATGCTTAGTGGTGCTATTAAGAATTGATGGTAAAATTCACACCACAGAGAAGTTGATTTGCAGTATGCATATCATAAAAAAGCATTTTACTATTTAAATTTCATAATTTTGTGTGAACATTTTCTTTTGGCAGCTTGTGAAACGGAGTGAGATCATCATTGTCTGATGAACAATGGGGTCTATGTGTCTATGGTGTTTAGCAACAATACCCACTGAATCAAATCCAGAACACTTACATTCACATGGATAATATCTATAAGCATATAGGTATCTAATCAGAGGTCAAGGTCACCAGTGTTAACACTATAATTTTGCGTTCACCATTAAAAGAGGTCATTGAGATATCCCATAGACCATAACTCCATCATCTACATAGATGAAGCATCATGATAACCACAACAAAGAAGCAACAGCCGCAGAGAGAGATCAGGTGAAAAAAGAGAACAAATTACCCCTCATTAAGTGGCCAAAGACCTTTCCAGATACTAGCTATCATTATTCGCTTCCTCTACCTTCCCCTTAAAGCAAATGAGAATCTAGTAAATATGCTTAAATTATGTAAATAACGCTTCATTTACCAAAAACATGCTCAAATTAGCCAAGAATGCACAATCAGTTAGTCACAAAAAAGGATTAGTTCCTCCGCATACAACTACACAACTATTGCACAAGATCAGAGAGTCCAAATATACAACTGAATTCTGCCCAATACCAAATGACAAAGTAACCAAAACCAAAATCATTCAGAAAGGCTTAATAATAAGACCTGCTCTACTTGTATATCCTAATCATAGAAGTGGTCAGAACTATTGATTACTAAATTCAATTAAATGTTTAGTAGGGGTTATGGTTTTGAACTTATAAGAGCTTATGACAGCTTTTTCAGTTGTAGTGAAAGCTGTGCGGAGTACTAAACATTTTTAATCTGTCCACATTCAAGTTTCATTCTAATAGGTTTGCAATAAACTTTGTAGTGATCGCCAGCATACATGTAATGTCAAAACAACCTTCACAGAAATTTGTTAAAATATAGATATTTGTGTGATACTTTGGATGGCTAGAAAATATTTTAAGAGTTGGTTTGACCATGCCAGTTCAACTTTATACAAACAAAATCCGAAGTACAAAAGTTTTCAGAAATTTCTCAAAACAGGTCCAATAAAGTCAAACTCATTCTTCAAAAACAATACCCTTAAGAATTAATTATAGCACTTGAACATCCTGGGAACTAATAGAATCCCAAATTTACGGAACTCTCGAACCTTGACTCAATGTGACACATAAGCACGTAACCAAAGGCAAGCAATTCAAACCACAAGGATAGACCATCACATATGGACCACGAATAAAAAAGGTAAGAACTTGAAAATGAATAAGAAGCAATGCCTGCACTGATAAAAAAAATGACTCATAAGCATCAGGCGAGAATAAGACAAAACTTTGTCACCCACATGGCAATCTGCTGCCAGATCTCTTGGAACCTTAGATACTTTGGAATACCACAATCAACCTAGAACTATTGTAATATCTCAATCAACATAGAATGATTGTTGGTAGAGTGAGCTCCTTTCGATTGCAATAATTATGAAAAGTCAGATTTTATAAGCCACAAGTGTTCTAAAGAGTTGGGATAAGTTATGGGAAGAGGTGAATTTGGGTTTAGAGGATTTGCAAAACTTAGCTGATGCTTGAGCCAGATCCAGGTTCTACTGAGTATATCAGATAGTTATGACTCATGTTCACACTGCATTTCTAAAATTCATTATATTTATCGAGAGTTCTGCAAAATTGCATACAGAAGAATATAGCTCTTTGAATTGAAACAAACGTATTCTTAGAAATAGCTCCCAACCTGAAATTGTAGTACATACAACTTGGTAAAACTAAGAAAAAGAGCAGCAGTTATTTGTTGTTTTAGAATTATCATGGGGATGGCTAGAAGTATTTGAAAGATTTATGGAATTTGAATCATTATCTCCACAGTTCAAGATCACTTCAAGAAATAATTCCAAGCCACGATGAACATTTGATTGGGGAACTAAATGAAAATGGTTTCCGTGGTCATCATGCAGTAACTCCAAAAGAGAATCTGCAAGCTATCCAGTCAATTGTATAAAGGTTATTGGAAAAAGTTTATATAAGGTGTCAACCCTATAAGGTGCACCTCAAAAATTCACTCAAAAAGCTTGTTTCGATGTTGAAAAACGTTCAATTGATCATCGAGACCTCAACATAAGTTGATATGAAAAAAAAATGATTTCAAGTCCTAAAAATCATGCATCTTGTAACACATTATCTAGACCATCCGTTTTAAAAATAAGTGTCATCATTTTTTGAAATTTAAATTGCATAATTTGTTTTAAAAATAAATTTATATATCATCATGAGGGTTTCCAGCACTAGAATTGCAGGTTTTGGCAAGACTTATAGGTTTTCTTGTTTGAGGTTGACACCTTATACAAACCGCAGCCTTGATTATTTGGTACAACATGATTTCAAGAGCCAACCCAAGGACGCATGTTTAACCCATGAAATCTGATTTTGTTGTAACAGATATTGCCATTTTGGAAATTTGATTCGATTTCTGTCAAATAACCAACCCAAGGACGCATGTTTAACCCATAAAATCTGATTTTGTTGTAACAAATATTGCCGTTGTGGAAATTTAATTCGATTTCTGTCAAACAACCAATAGTCAAAGCTACAGGAAATGTCCACTCACTTGTTTCGTATATCTGACTCTCTTCGACCAAACCTGGGAACATCAACTGTTAGTACGATAGCCTTGTACCCATTGTTCTCTGCTCTTTTCACTAATTGAGCTGAAAGTTCCCTTTCCTTAAATATCTGCTCAAAGAAGCTTGTAAAATCTCGTAAATGACTACCCACTAAGATATAAATCCAGCACTATGACATAATCAGAAAGTTTTATCAATAACAGCATGAAAACATCATTATGCTTGAACACCCAAAAGGCCAAACTGTCACGTACATATAACTGAAAGAATCGAACAGCATCACAGCTCGACGCAACCTCCTCAATTGTAAAGGAAGAATGAGTCGATAATACCTAGATGTAGAAACTGACTAGCTGTTAATATCCTAGCATGCTAAACCATTGAAAGAGCACTTTACATGGAAAAAAGAAGGCTCTACAATGTACCATGATTGAACCACATGCTGATGCAGCTCTGGCTGTTGCTAATTCTCCTAACATACATAAAAAACTGCATATAGAAATCAAAACAATTAGCAAAACGCATATTGATTGAGAATCCCATCATATGAACCAAACCTTCAGGATGTGCCAAGTTGTGCATTGCTGTTGGAGCAATCATAATGGGTGCCTGAATAGGGTATCCCAGTACATTTGTCGATAAATTTATACTGGTCACATCTATAAGAATCCTTGGACGAATCCTGATAAACATAAAATTCAAAGGTAACCAACCAGAAATAAAATTAATTAGCCCAAAAAGGATAAACAACACAAAAAACATTTGCACATATTACATTATTCTTTGAAAGGCAATAACGCTTTCCTTCAAGGTATACTCATCCTCAGCACCTCCTCTATAATAGTCATAGTACATCTTAGGAAGTGCTTGTCTAGCTAATTCTTCAAACTCAGAGACATTTACTGGATCAACTGCCATTGCGATTGGGGGCCCAAGTATATAACTTTTCACTAAAAACAATATGCCAAGCATGATCATTAGCAAACTGATACTCACATCTAGCAAAGCAAAATTTTTGACATGGCACATATTAATCAAGAGAGCTAGCCCCACATAATCAAAACTGAGCAATCATAAGCATATAAAAATGTGACGTCACCAACAATCACGAAAAGAAGAACAAGAAGGACGAGGTTAATAACAAATGAAGATAATAAAAAGATAAATAAACAAGAGGAAGATCAATTCACTCATTTATCAAAGTCTGGTGGGCTTCTTATTATACAATAAAAAAGCATAAAATTTTGGGAAACATCAGCAGACATGAAAACCTCAGCCATCCCTATCATTCTGTACCTAATTTGTAAGATGGACTTTTTATTAATTTAAGCTTAAATACTTGCATTTTTTATTGGCAGAGCTTCAAACTATAAAGACAAACAGGTTTGCACATCCAATTTTGAGAAAGATCATATTGAACATAAGAAAGCACCCATTAATGACAAAAAAAATAACAATAAAAAAACAATAGATAGGGTATGAAACCAACAGATCCTACTAAAGCTTCATCAGAGCTTCATAAACATGAGAGAACATCAAAAGGAAAAGAAAACAGTGACCATGCACGAAAAAAAGAGGAATCAGATACACTTTAAAAGGAAAAAAAAGAATCCCAACCCCAGAAAAAACAGAAAATCAAATCATGTTGCAAATTCAAGCTTAATCTGTGCACTTTCAAGGCAAAAATATAGAATAAAAAAAGATGGACGTTTCTTATCATAGACTCTAAAACCTCAATACTATACTGAAGTTTCCAATGATCCTTTTAATTTCAAGCATTTGATGACATTTTTTAACTAAAAAAATAAAATAAAATAAGCAGATCCTAAAAGATCATGTTAATTCAGGTCTGAAGCCATTTTCTGAACCAAAATTGCTAAAAAAAAGAAGGGGAAAATAGCTCCAAAAACACAGGAGAAGAAGGATAATAATCAATAATAGCACACCTAGAAAGGCCCAAAAATAATGAAGCCTTTTGCTGAGCCAAAGAAACAACCGGAAAACCCTAAAATTATTGAAAGAAGGATTCGAGAACTTGGATTCAGTCCGTCGGCAAATTATTGAGGAGGGACTTGTTTTTAGTTTGAAGTTGATTCATTGGACGGCTGAGATACTCTGGAGGTAAACATTGGTTGGATCTGGACCGTTCAAATTTATAAACATGGAGAGAGCCGTTACGGTGGGTCAGGATCTAAACGGAGCAAAAGTGAGAAAAGGTCAGAGTAGATCTGGACCGTTGAAAATTGGAGGTAGAGCAATCCAAAGCGATGAGTTTTTAAATAGTTTCAAGCACAATAATGATTCATCGAACTCCAATAGTGATTCTGCAAAGTTGCGACAAAAAGATGGAAAAAAGTTTATATAAGGCGTCAACCTTACACTATACAAGTAAGGTGAACCTAAAAACCCAACCAAAAAAGGGTTTGGAAAACCGTCATTTCGGCCTTGAGATTCATAGTCATGGAAAAAAAGTGATAAATGGTCATCAGTTATGGACTGTACACTTTAAAGTGGTTATAATTTTGCTAGATGGTCACTATTTTTTAAATTTTTAATTTTTTATTTAAGGAAACAATAGATTTTTCATATCATTACAACGCTTTGGGCAAGATAAGTGCATTTTTGGCATAATTTTTAAGTACACCTAGACACCTTATACAATCCAACCTCATATTATTGAGGTAAGGTGTACCTCAAAAACTTTTTTCTTAATCTTAAAATTATCTTAAATTGAACCAAAAAAAAAAAAAGGGTGCAATTGGCATACGGATGCATCCGTAGCTGTAGAGGTCAGGTACACCTTCAAATTTTATCATGGTATATAATTTTGATATAAAATATTCTTAGGATTATCTCAACATCTATTTTTATATCTAATTATAAAATTTTAAATTTAAAAATGATCAAAATCAAGTAGATCTATAAACATATGAAAATCTTGAAAATGGACGGTGTAGATAATATGTTGTAAAATGCACTATTTCTGAGATTTAAAATCTTTTTATTTTTTATGTTATACATCTCGATGTCGAGATGATCAATCAAAGGGTTTTTTAACATTAAAACTATTTTTTCCGATGGATTTTTTAGGTGCATCCATAATTCTATATTATAAGATTACACCCTTATATAAACTTTTTCCAAAAAAAAAAAAGCACATAAATAAAGAATGAGATGATAGCAGTATCTATGGTGGTAGCATCACGTGATACATTGTCCATGCCACTATACACAAAATTGAACCCAAAGCCAATTATTTTGTGAGCGAATAGATGATGAATGGGGTGTACCCAAAAGCTTGAAAATGGCATTTGGTGCTTTCAAGTATGTGGAGGTGTTAAGGGTATAACCCTTGTACAATGTGATCACCATGGCACCACCTACACAGAGAAAAATGCCTACCACCTTTGCTTGCCCCCTCCTCCTCTTTAATTGCAGCTTCTCCATTCTAGAGAGAGAGAGAGAGAGATTTAGAGAGAGAGAGAGAGAGAGAGAGTAAGGAGAGGAATTATGGAACTATTGAATTACAAAATCAAGAGAATTCCAAATAGAGAAAGTAAAGTAAGGCTCTCCCTGTTTGATATCCTAATGTTCATACGGAGAAAGTAAAGTAAAGGCTCTCCCTGTTTGATATCCTAATGTTCATATTTATTGCAAAAGGGGGAACCAAAGGATTGAACCTATAACAACCTACATAGGTGATACAAGGAAAATGCTCCTTTTCGCCTAAAGTGAAAACTAGGGTATAGTGGCCGCATTTTGCTGTACCAAGCAAATAGTGAAATTTTGTTTTAACATCTAATTATAAAATTTAAAGCTTCAAAGATAGTCTACATCAAACCGATCTATAAATATTTGAAAATCATAAAAATTGAAGGTCCAGATAATGCATTAGATGATGTACTATTTTCAGGACTTAAAGTTCATTTTTTTTAAGTTTATGCGTTTCAAAGTCGAGATGATCAAATTTTAATAAAGCGGAGGAAACTCTTCAGTTTTACATGAAAATAGCAGCAAGGATAGAGATAATCACAGGGATGAGGTTGAAGAGAGTGGCATAAAATGTAGAGAAGTGTAACCAAGTCCCTTGATGTAACTTATTGGCGCGATAGTGTTTATGCAATCAATTTCTAAGTAGAATCCAGCATTTGAAATAAGTACTAAGCAAACACAACATTTAACAAAATAATAAGATATATAGAAAAGCATATCCTAACAATCCAAGCAAGAAGATCTGCAAAGTTTGTTTTAATCCTAGTGGAGGAAGTGTTTCCCTGCAACAAACAAACATGTTTCCTTACCTTCAAGATAGAGAATGATAATTGCTCTCACACACGCACGTGCAGACACAGACACAAAGAAAATGATAACAGTGTCTTGTTTGCGGGCGAATCATCGAATCAAGTCGGTTGTTGGCTCCTATCTGCAGTTCATCCTGCTGAACTTTGATCTCATTATCAAATGAGCTCACTAAGTTCTGCTGCGTGCAGCCTGCCTGGACAAAGGGGTACTCGTGGTGCTAAGAGATGATTTATGGTGCTACGAGAGATAAAAAAGAGAGCTCTCTCAAAGTCCCTAGCATGGCTAATAGCTTGTTGAACCTTCGGAGAGAACCATAGAGATCAATTACCACATACATAACATACGACACATTACACGAGTTGCTGAGAAGGCACCTCCCTCCCCAACGTTCTATCGAGAGAAGGGGCCAACAGCTGTTAAATAGCGCTAAACGGCCTCACCTCTGAGCCCATTTTCGACATACATGCATGTGCAGACATAGACACAGAGAGAGAATGATAATTGTACATACACAAGCGCGGACACACACACAGAGAAAGAACACGGAGAGAAAATGATAACATACATGAGCGCAAACACGCACAAACAAAGAAGAGAGTTTGGATTACGTCTCATAAAAAAGAAAGAGTTTGGAATACCTCTCATAAAAAGAAGCAAGTGGGGCGAGAGTCCTCATGGCCATTGCAGCACGATAAGTAACAAAAGCGTAAGCATTCATTCGTCAAGTAAGTGCAGCCTTGGTGATGAGGAACATACCATGCGCACAAAATTTACAATAAAGAAAATAGTAACGAGAGGGAGAAAAATCAAATTCATAGAGATTACTCTAGTTTACCAGGGATTTATAGAGTTACAACTTTTGTCTTTTATGAAACAAATCTCATTAGAATAGTAATCCTACAAAATAGGAAACACAAAAAACTCACTATAGGAAACTTAATATTTGGTTCCTATAATTGTCAACCCTCACAACTTGGGCAGTATTTGATGAAATTTTGTCTTTGCAATAGCTTTGATAAACATGTCTGCAAGTTGGTCTTCATTTCGAACATAAGGAGTACTGAACCTTTTCTCTCATAAGTGATAATCAACTTATATGTGCTTGGTTCTTTTATGAAAAATTGATTGGAGGTTATATGCATAGCTGCTTAATTATCACAAAACATCTCTATTGGATTAACCGTTGGGAATCTTGAAGTAAGTGTTTTAGCCACATCAATTTACTTGTAGTTGAAGCTATAGCTTTATATTCGGCCTTTGCACAGGTTCGAGTAACTACATTTTGTTTTTTGCTTTTCCAATTAATTACGTTTCTTCCGATCAATGTATAAGAGCCGGTAGTGGACATCCTGTCAATTGGACTATTTGTCCAGTCAGCATCATAATAACAAATAAATAAATAAATCATCAAGTACATGTTTTAGTGGCCCTATAAAATCATATTTGAGATGAGAAATAGGTCCTAGAGAGAGGGAAGGGAGAGAACGATTATTAGCTTGCCAATTCTTCACCAAAAGTGAATATATATCTTAAGTATTAATCCATACCTTATTCAAAATCTAGATCTTGAGAGTAGCTTTAAACTTGAATTGAATGTTGGGTTTTCAAAGCAGCAATCCTTCATTCAATCTTCAAAGAAAAAATTGGTGTCTTCCTTAGTAGAAGTATTGAGAGAGAAGAAGGGCAAGACATGAGAGAATGGTAAGGCGAGAGAGAGAGGGAGTACACTTTCTTGTGTTTCTTAGGCAATAGAGATAGTATGGGGGAGGGCAAGGCATGATGGGGAAGGGTTGAGAGGACGGGGAAGGGAAGGCAAGGACGGGGAAGGCAAGGGTTGCAGATTATTTTTTTAATATTTTTATTAGGTGCGTCTTGATGAGAAGAATATATACTTAAAATTTCAAATGATTTGAATTTATAGAAAAAAATTAAAATTCAAATACGAAAAGAGATCAGGACTTTCAGATCGGCCCAGATTAAATCTGAACCATTGACGTTTACTGTAGCGGTCAGCTAGTGGGTAGGACCTATAGGACACTCCCCCACCCATGTGTATAGGACCCCAAATGATCACCATTGAATTTGGCACGGAGCTTTAAAAAAGTTATCACATCGGTATGAAACTTGACTTTTTTAGAGATCCGTGTCAAATTTAATGGTAATCCTTTGGGGTCCTACACACATGGGTGGGGGAGGGTCTCTATATATATATATATATGAAAAAAAATCTTGTCAGCCCATGGGCTGATAGGTACAATGTTCACCAACGGCCCAGATTGAATCTGGGCCCAATCCAATGGCCACGACCTCATTTTATATTTAAATTTTTTGTTTTATTTATACAAATTCAAATCACTTGAAATTTTGAACTTCTGTTATAAAAAAATAATATAATATAATAAAATATTAAAAAATAATTCATAAAATATA